TAGGAAACATTTTAAAGTTGCCACAGTGTCAATGAATACATGGATTGAAATACAGACATTTCCATTAACACTGATCCATTTTATTATTTGCACTGTCAAAAACAACACTCTCTTCAAAAAGTAAATGACTTCACTTCTCATTTAGCAAATCAAACAAACAAAACAGCACATAATCTAACAGCTACAGCATTTATACACAAGCTACTGAGAATGCAGTAAAAATGAACTCACCACAAAGCAGACAAGAGAGCAAAAACATTTTAACCATTGAGGGAGAACAAGTGTACAGGAGCTATCAGGCCAGTTCAACCACAGTCTTTATAACACTCTTTATAACTTCCTCTTCCTCTCAGATCAAAGCTCCTCCCTTTGCTTTTTGCAGGCCCACATCCATTTATACATAAAACCATAACGGTACGTATAAACCTATTTTAATGTGTACTAAACCATGAAAACTATACAATGAGAAATCCTATTTACATATCATTTACTTGTCTAAACCTAAAAATCTATTTTATACAGACTATACAGAAGTGCCAGCTCAAACCCAAATCAAGAGTCGATCACATCACTCCTTTTTCAGCTTCTTCTCATTGACTTCCAGGATGATCTGAAACGCTTCTTGAACCCGCTGATGTCGACTCCAGACCTGGATTCTGAGAAAATGAAGAGAATACCATCTAGTATTTTACTATAGCTACAGAGAATAAAGAATAACGTTGACAATCAGAGCAATATTGAACCAAATAATGTGAAAACATGTGAAGTGTCTCACCGCCATGGTGGGTTTAAGGGTGCTGTATTGGTCTAGATCTACTGTGGATGGGTGGAGTGTTTCATAGACTTCATCAGAAACTGCCCTCTGTGGGAACACGACAGTTTCTCTGTGTTACTAGTGGCAAATAGAAACTTCTTCTTTTTTCTTTTTTTTTGTTCTTTTCTTATTTAGAGAACAGAAATAGCATTAAGGTCAGTAGCTGCAGATCAGATTGTAACAGAATGCACAGCAAATTCAAGTCATGGAAA